CCCTCAGCCGCAGCTCCTCATCAGTCTGGGCTGTAGTTCAAGGCATTATATTTGTTTGACCAAAAAAATACTGTGTTTAATGTTGGGAAYTCCCTGGCAGCTTGCCCTCTGTGTGAGGCCATGCCAGCTCCAACCCCACCTCACTCCATCACCCTGGAATCCCACTGGGAACAGCATTTTCCCAGCTGGATGAGAAATATACCCAAACACTCTTCAKGATAAATTCTATCTTTCAAGGGAAATTAATTTTTAAACATCCCTGCTGATAAACAATGGGTATTTGAAGTCCTSTCTGTTTGTTATATGTTTGCATGCAAGCTCCTGATTCATGGCTGGGTCTGGGAGCTGCTGCAACTTCATCATAAATAATCCATGGGCTGGGTGAAGTCTGAGGATCCACGTTTGCTTCCTGATTTACAGTGCCAAGGTCATCTGGAAGGCAGTGTACACTTCCCAGTGCAATTTCCCTAAGTGCTTCCTCCAGATCCAGAGGCCACCTTGGGCAGGAAATAGGAAACCTGTAGATTATGTTAGGTACAGCTTCAGTGTCTCAGCTGTGCAATGTACGAGATATTTTGTCATATATTGTAATATTTACATATTTCTCTTACATTCTTCAAGAATATCAGTGGAGAAGCATGTTTCAAAACACTGAAGCTGGGCCATTCTGAGTTTTCACACAGAAAGTGCTTCAAAATACTGAAAATAATGGTCTTATCTCATCAGAACAGGCAGAGGCATTAAGCTGTAGGTGTATTCCTCACTGCCACATGTATCTCAGCTGCAGCTGGGCCCTTTCCAGCTTCTCACCTTGCCTGTGGCAAACAGGATAATCCCAACTTCCCACCTCTCTGAGACATTCCCATTGCTTCTTTTCAGTTTTTAAATCACCAGCCACACCTCAGGGCTGCCTTCCCACTCTCTGCTTTCTTTTTGAATGAAGTTTCTTATCAGGGTTGTGCTAATCAAAGGCAAAGATGGGAGGGAGAGGGAGGTGAAGGAATGATGATCAAATAGAACGGTGCTGGGATGTTCCTTAATTAAGTAAATCTCAGGATTGCACAAGCTGCTGTTCCAGTTTTCTTAGGGATGGAGATGCCTTTATGAATCACCATCAGTTTTCGGTGTCAGCTACCAGATGTGATGTCAGAGAGCARGAGCAACAGCTTCCCCACAGCACAGTGAGCAGATGAGTTTTCTCAGTTCTTTTCACATAGACCCCCATGATGGGATACTTTTGGGATTTTGCAAAGCAGGGCTAGGCCAGGAACTCAGCTCTTCTTTGGGCCAATTGTGTTCTGATCACCCAAACTCACTCTCACTRAAAAAAAAAGGGTTTTTTCCCTCCACTCTTTGCTTTGTGATCAACATGAAATTATTTTAAATCACTAAAACAGCCTTATTCTGGATGAGATCCTGTGATGCTGGAAGGTACTTTTATGACATACAAATACCTTCATTTCAAATGGCTAGAAACTTTACAACCCTTCCCAATGAAGCTTGCACTAAATCTTAATTGATTTCTAAAGAAGAGCACATTATGAAAAGGGACCAGTGGATTAAGTTGATACCAAGTGATTGAGCTGCTGTGAACTCAACAAGAAGAACTGATTGTTGTGCTTGTGGAGGCTCTGGATGTTCTACATACCTGTTGTCTGCCACCATGGAAAATACAGTCTTCCTAATTAGTGCATGGAAAGCCCCTTTGTTTGTTCTCCAAATGGTGTGTTCCCAAGTCAGSTGTTTGTGTGTGTCCCTGAGGTGGCTCTTCTCCACCATGTCTCATCCAAACATCTGATGTCCCTGGGTATTGCAAAGGCTTAATGTTGTAACATCAAACTCTGCTTCCTATTGAGCTTTGTCTTGAAAACCACCTGAGATGGGAAAAATCTTATTTGGTTAGACCAAAATAGGTGGTTTGGATTGCTACACTAAAAATGGAAGAAATGTAGAAAAAATATGTTACTCTTACAAGTGAGAATAAGGCCCTTTTTTTTTTTCTCCACATAAGCTTCTCTACAAAGTGCCTCTAAAAACAGTGTCACATAGTGTTTCTCTGTGCAGCACCATCAGCCAAGGAATCTGGTCTCTGCTCTTRGTTTAAATAGAAAATTGTTTCTGTRGATGGACAAAATGCTTCATGAAACCGAATACTATTTAGTTCAGTATCTTTTATCATGTATACATTTAAAATATATAGAAATGTATTGCAATTGAAGTTTACTTGTGTTCTGTGTAATTATGACTTACACCAGTCTCCTCATTCCATAACTTTTCCTTGCTGCACTTTAGAAAGGTTTCTGATAACTCATTCCAGTTGCAGAAGTACTTGTGTAGAACATGTTTTGTCAGTGCCTTGGCTCTCAGAGTCCTTAGCAGTGACATTTTAATGGTGTTTGGGCTGGGTTGGGATTAATGGTGCACATTGGACTCTTCCCTTTAAATTCTGGCATGTCATTTGCCATCTGGCTGGCTGATAACAGCTACTCCGAGCCGGGCAGTTCATCTCCTTTCCTTCCCGTGGCAAAGCAGTGATAGTCTTGGATAAATTCTTTACATAGGAGGAAAGAATGTAGGAAATTTATAAGCCTATGAAGGAGCATTAAAAGACCCAAGTTTAATAGCCATGGCCTTACATTTTAATGGCAGGTTCTGTATCAAATCTCTGTTCATCTTTCTTGAAGAATGTGAACAACTTGCCTCCTTCATTTCAGGAGACACCATTCTTCCACCGCAGTCACCTTCCTTGTTTCATGTTGGACAGAAAACCAGACACTGTCTGCCACACCAARGCGATAAATTATGTCTTTTCTCATTTCCATTAAGCAAACAGAAGTGTCTTTAATTAATTCCATTGGATGAAGTCCATAGGAAATGTACAGAGTATTCTGGCAGAGCCGCTAGTTAACGTCTTAAAAAAACCCCTTCCTAAAAATGTACCTGTCCTTAAAGGATCAATCCTTCCATCWCAAAGACAGCTTTTGGGATGAAGCCTTGTAAGCTTCCAGCTGCAGATATATCTTGCACAGAGAAAATAGCTACTATTTTAGAAAAATTATCTCTTTTATAACTCTTTCAAGACAATTCTCCCCAGGCAACTGTCAGTACATCCATTCTGGGCATGGAGATACTACCTTTATTTATATTACAAGTTATTATTTCTTGGCTTGRGACAGTATTTAACCCAGATGGAGCATCAGTTCAGAAGTATGCATGTGTTCACAAAGCAGTACCTGTCCTGTCATCATTCTTGGAGCAAACAGATCTAAAGTTGATCTTCAGATCTTATTCTAAACATTTGTGGTGGCACATTTGTGAATGCCCCATCCCCAGAAGTGTCCAAGGCCAGCTTGGATGGGACTTGGAGCAACCTGGGATASTGGGAGGTGTCCCTGCCCATGGCAGAGSGTGGAACAAGATAAGGTTTAATCCCAAATTGTTCTGGGATTCTATGATTTTAAGAAGACTGGACTAAAGTCTGATCCTTTGGACTTTGCATGCATGCTCAAGAGCTTCTGATCAGGAATAAGCCTTTAAAAAAATCTCTAGTTTGTGGATTTCCTATGGAACTTGAAATTTTGTTATTGGTTCTTTAGGACTRGAAGCCTAGTTAAAATGCAAAGTTTTCCATCTGTGTTAATTTAGGATTGCTGGGTGGTGATATTTGCAAATATATTCTGTTTTTACATTACAAAAACGCTGACTCCTTCCATACACCTGTATGTCTCTCTTGCTTCCATAAGGACAAGTGTTTCTTTGGCTGAAACATYGTTTTCAGAGGATTACAGTAAAACACTTTGCACTTGMATTGTTTGCCTTCCTGACCCCTCAGCTTTCTGCCAGCTTCTGACTGT